ACACATCCTAATGTGTCGATTCCTACATGCAATTACAAAATGCATTGCTTTGTTCGGGTTTGTTGCAAAATAAATCCCATTTTGTTGATGGCAGAAGACAACAGTGTCATTAAATGAAAAGACCCAATGAGTTCAGGGCTAATGCTAGTTCACTGCAGATATTCTATGAAAGACACCACAAAAGGCTCAAGATATCAGGAATATCAAACTCAGTACTTTTCCTCCTCAGCATGCAAAAAGTCATCCAATCTAAAAGCCTATGTGACAAAGCAAAAGCACTGGCAGGCTTGAGGGCATTTACAGAGTAACTTAGCATGTGCTACATCTATCTTTATAGATACCCACTATATTTAGCCTGTCAGCCTCTGGGCATACACCTGCTCTTTACTGAGAACAGTTCAGGAAGGGAATCCAGGTGAAAAGCCACTGCATGATCTGTAACTCAGTGTACTTCTTTGGTCCCCTTTTGTCCTGAAGACATTGTTGGACTGTGGAAAAAGTGGAAGAGACAGGCTGATGGGAAACTCTAAAGATGCAAGAGGAGAAAAATCAGCTTCGTTCTTTTTAGCTTTTTTTGGGCTGACGTTGACAACATGCAGCCACAATTTCCTGATACAGTGTCACATGTGCAAGTTCACTGAGGGGCCCACCATCACCACCCTGTAACACCATCTGTCCTGTAGCCCTGCTCCTTTCCATCTCCCCTTCATATGGATTGTCCAGGGTATTTCCAAAATATTCATCAGCCACAACCTCCTAGACTCTACAGGATATTTTAATAAATGCACAAACTTCTGCACAAATTTAAAAAAAAAAGAAGTATAACAATCCTTTAAAGAAATATATTTTTATATGGTCAGTTCATGTTGAACTGCTCTGTCCATAAATAAAGTGGTACATGGCTTTGGGGCTGACAGTTGCTAGTAAGCACCTGGTATTATTGGTGATCCTATAAAGCGTTTACCAACCACTCCTAAATCAGTCAGTGGTTTTCTTTACAAGTCGGAACAAAAGAGAGGTACTTTGTTTAGTCTCTCACCTCAACGTTAGATGAGAAGAAAGGAAGTGCTGAAATTCACAAACGGTGAAATAGGTAAAAGCACAAAGAACAAAATCCAGGAACGCTCGCTAAAGATCGTGCGGTGCAAGTATGATCAAAGTGCTGAATACAGGGGTGTCCTTCATCTACCCCACCGACCAGACCAAAGCATTCAGTATAAACTGCATATGTGATGCAATTTTTGATAAAACTATCTGATTTTGTTGTAAATGTGTCAGCCAGTGGATAGAGAGCAGCAGTGAGTAACAGGAAGCACGAGGACGCAGCCTGGCTCTAACAGAAGAACACACCCTGCCAGCAGAGAGCTCAGGTTCCTACAGACTGACGCAGTGTCACTCATCCACTGTACACACACACCGACACACACTCAGCCTCCTTTTGCATGCTTTGTTTCTAGAGATATACACTCAACACTTTATATACACACATAAACAAGTCGTTGACACACACACACACACATGCACACGCACACTCATGTATACAGTGAGATACACTCTTCCTCCTTTGAATTAGTGATGAGGGACTGAGCTGCTGAATTATGCAGGAGACACAAAGAGAGAAAGTTGCTGAAACTACACATGGTTTTGGCCCAGAAAGAAGGAGGTGACTCTGCTGGGTGAGAGAGCAAAAACTGCAGGGGCGAGCAGAGGGGAGCCGTGTGCAGCGTAAACACACACGCACACAGGCAGGAGGTGTGGACCATATCAATGATACTTTCCAA